GCACCCTCCCACACGCTGCCACCAGCTGCGCTGTACTCCCACTCACCTCACAGGCCTCCGGGGCCCCCAGGGAGTCACCGACACACAACCGTCTGTTATCGGAGGGAGGCCCCGACCGGGTGCCAGGGGAGGGGACTGGGTTGTTGGAAACTTTAATTAAGCAGGGACAGTTAACAGCTGCAGGGACACCCTAGGAAACAGTGAGCCTTAAAAAGGAAGTATTTGTAGAATCTGTCCCCACGACCTCTTAAGACTTCTCTGAGAATTCCCTGCTGTGGAAGAAAATAACAGCAGCACAGGCACCCGTGAGCCTGCAGGACACCCCCCCCCCCCGCCCCCACGCGTAATCCTCCCGGAAGCTTAAATGCTCACCTCGCACAGACATCCCTAAGAGACCACAAAGAGCCGGGGTTGTGTGCCTGCACTCACACACACTCATAGACACTCACACACACACCTGCCTCTCCCTGAGACACGTTCCTCAAGTGGCAAATGTGCACGTCTGCCTCAATGGGCACCGTCTGGGCAGGCTGGGTGCCGCTGTCAGAACTCTCCCCAGACCCACAGGCCCATCACAGCTCCTCCACACACCACTGACCTCACTACAGGCTGAGCCGGCGGTGAGGAACTCGCTCCTTCCCCTTTCCTCCCGCAGCTGCAGGGGGTGTTTCTGAGGGGGCGGATGTCACCCACGAGGGGTGGGTTTTCCCCACCCCTACCTTGTCTTGTCCCAACTGCTTCCCACCCCCATAAGTAGGCCCTTTGGGGGTCACAGTCTAAGTCACAACCGTAAAGGAGAACCAGGGAGCACCTTTGAACCATAGCTCGTCAGCCGCCTCCTGCTTCCCCTGGTGTCCCTCGCCCCCATCAGCCCCTGGTCTTCCCCGTAAATGCCCCTTTTTCCTCGAGGATGGGTGTGAAGGGACAATGCTGGGACTTTCTAAAGGAAGAAGTTACTAGTAAAGTAAGAAAGAAACCAAAACCAAGGCAAGAAAATATCAAAATCTCACCAGTCCCGAGTCTGCTCTGCTTCTTCTCTTTGCCTCCCATTGTCTAACAAGCTGCAGCCCTCCGGGCCTATGCAACTCCTTTGCTCTCTGCTCCCTGACCCCCACAGGGTGCATGAGTGGTTAGCGCTGCAGGCTTTTCCAGGGGTGCACAAGGTGGGGTTGCCCTCATCCTCACCCCGGCCCAGTCCGAGCTCAGAGCCCTTGCCTCAGGGACAGTGGCTGGATCCAGCTCAGATGTTGGGACACAGGAGATGCCATGGGTCCAGCAGGGGGCAGGAGGGGGCCCAGAAGGGGCTGACTTGCCACAGGTGTGATCAGTGGGGCAACAAGGGTGGAAGGGGTCAGGGAAAGGCTGTGGAGTCTGGGGGTGTCACAGAGGAGAAAGTGTGGTCCCAGATTCTCTGCATCCTCCAAAGACTGCCGTTCACGGGAAGGGTTTTGGAGTGAGACGCCATGTGCTCTGTGGACCGACAGCAGGAGGGGAGCTGGGTCCACCCTGGAAGTCCCCAAACTGACGGGGAGAGATGAGTCCAAAAAGTCAGAGACTCCTTTCCGGGAACGGACACCTACCGGGAACCCCAGGATGATGAGCTAGGGCTCCGCACTACACCTGCCCCCCAATTTGATGGGGAGGATGAAGCCCCACCCTGGAGCAAGGACTGGGGAGAGCCTCCGGGTCTGTTGGGCACAAAAGAGCTCTGACTACACAGAGGAAGCCTCTGGCCACGGCAGCCAGGAGGGAGGCATGGCCACATCCGGGAGAGGATCAGAGGAGGCACTGGGAGCCCGCACTGCCCAAGCCATCTGGGCTACATGAAGGTGGGACAGAGAGAGGCGCAGGGGCGGCCCGAGAGTGGTCCTGTGACCCCCCAGCCCAGCCCATGCTCTGGGCCTTAGTTTCCCCTCCCCTGCCCCTCTGGCCAGGGCTCAGGATGCCATCTGCTTCACTGAACCCATCTGTCTGAGACTTGCTCACATCTTCCTCTTTTGTGACTAGAAGTCACAGGGCAACGCACTAAGCCGTACAGTCACGGAGGGACCACAGAGCCTCAGAGTGTGAAGGGACAGAGGGGAGAGCGGCAAGAGGAGGGGGAGAAGGGGAGCCGGGCCCAGAGGTGCCAGGACCATGGCCGAGTCTGTCACCTACGCAGACCTGCGGTTCGTGAAGGCTCCCCTGAAGAAGAGGGTCTCCAGCCAGCCAGGGCAGGGTAAGGGCAGAGGAGGGGTCTCCTGGATCCTGCATCCCCAACCTCTTTCCTGACCCCACCCCGCCCACCCCTCAGCCCCCATTCCCAGCTCCCACCTCGGCCCCTTTTCTCTCTTCTACAGACCCAGAGGCTGACGACGACGGGGAGCTCACCTATGAGAACGTGCAAGTGCCCACACTCTCAGGGGGAGCCTCAAACTTGGCTTCTTCTGGGCTAGGGAACAAGGCCGGTATGGAGAGCCCAGGGGATGGGTGTTTGTGGGGCGCTGTGTCTAGAGCTGGGGAGTCCAGAGCCGTCTTGGGAGGACAATATCCCTGGGAAAGGAGGGGGGCTCCTAGCAAAGAGAAGAAGGAGCCCTGGGTAAATGGCAGCAGGGGGAGAGGG